CTCTCTGCCTCAAAAACAGAAATTACTTTTGGACAAATTATTTTCAGGGAAAACAATAAAAATAATTTTTTTAAAAAACCTGATTATGAAATATTTCTTTGAATAGATGACAAACTCTTCTGATTGAAGGTCCAGTGGAGGGGACTGGTTCCTGTGCCTATCTCTCACCCCTGTGAAACATACTGGTTCAGGACCTGGCACAAAGACTCCAAAATGGCTCATGCAGCATGTCCGAGGTGAGGGGACAGCCAGCACCACCCTGCCCAGCTCTGTACCCACATGTGAGGTGGGCTGTGAAGCAGGGAGGGAAGGTGCTTGGTTAAGAGCCCGGGGTGTTCACTGTCCATCGCTGTGCATTTTCTGCATGAAATGCTCAAGTCAGAAAGACTTCAGAGCAGGATGAATAATATCTCCAGACAGGAGGCCAGTGTTATGAAAAAATCATGAGCAGCTATGAGGGCGTGTCTCACCTCCTTTGCACTCCAAGAAGAGCAGCCCACCAACCCCCATCTTCCCCATGGCAGAACTGTCCTCCCACTGTTCCTGGGTGCTGCAAACCCCACCAGGGTAAGGCTGATTTCCACCACCTTTGCAGCTAGGCAAAGAAGAATAAACAGAAAGCTGAGGGAGCAGCCTGGAGGGGAAGGTGAGGAACAGCCAGCTTGCAATCCTGTTCAAAGTGAGGGAGAGCTGGATAGACGGGAAAGGGTGTATACTCACTGTGTAAAGCAGCATTTGTTTGCTAGCTTGGTGATACTCTTCAAGTACAGACAGGATGGAAACTCTGGCTATGGGCAGTGCACCAGAACCAAGGCCCAGAAGCATATTTCAGGTCTGTTCCCTTCTGTCCTCAGGACACTTCATTCCTTTGCAGGGTTTTACCCACAACAGCTACTCTGCCTCTCTGCTAGGTCTGTTCTTTCCCATTCACCTGGCAAGTGACTGTTCTCTCTTGCCCTTCTGTGCTTCCCTGGTGTGGGAATGGAGAGGCTGTGAGCGTGTCAGGAGTGGTATCATGCACATCCTTTGGGGCACCCAGGTCTGAGGGTGCTCCCTGGATCCACAATCACCACCACTGTTTCTGAGCAAGGCTACAACTCAGCAGCAATTTGTCACAGCTGGAGGGATTTTCTGTATAGCAAGTAGCCATCAAAACTAATTCCATGTCAGCACCAGGAGCCTGCCACTTGCTAAAAGTGGGCTAAGTGTGCATGTTCTCTTCTAGTTCCTTCAGAATCAGCCAGGGCAAAGGACTAAAATATTTCCTTCTCCAAACAAATTAATTTTCCCTTACTGCAAGGCTTCAAGCTTCAAATACAGTGTATCACACTACTCCCCCTTATCCAAGCTTGATATATGTGATAAGTACAATTATTTAACCATCTGTGATACTTTTGAATGGCTGAGAATTTTCTGTCCTCATTTTGGAGCCCACGTTCCCCCTACACAGGCAGGAAATACAGCTCTGCCTGCACATTCTTTCTCTTAATCTAAAATAAGTTTCACATTAAACCACACTTGATCTGTATTTGAGTAAGGAGGAAATCACTGCAAGAGAAATTTAGGAGAAGAAGAAGAAGCAGAAAAGCAGCCTTCACTGACATTCCCCACATCCCTTCATGGGTTGCAGCATTGCTCTGAAGTACGACACACTTGATCAGAGAGAGATCTAGAGGGCTGCTGCTCCAGGCTAGAGGAGTCTCTGAACATACAAATCCTTTGAGAGTTACAGGATTTTCCAGTCTCTTCCAGCCCATGCTTAGATATCCAAAACCTTTCCAGCACCTTTTCAGCTCCCCTGAGCAGCCTCTGTGTAAACACGGACACCCAAAAAGAGTAACTGTAAGCGTATCCCTGAATCACAGGGGTCATATTCCTGCATCACAGGGCATGCCTCACATCAGCTGGGGAGAGGGAAGAAGGGCCTTAGCTGCAGACTCCTTTTCTCTGAGCACTTGGGGCTGGACTCCTTGGGTGGATTCAGTAAGCTTTTTGCTTACTGGGAAATCAAACAGCTGTCTTCGGGTTATTGAAATGCGCTTGTCATAGCACACACTTTGTTTTTGAAGTGCTGACTATCGACAGTGCTCCAGCTTTTAGTCACACCTGCTGCACTCCTACCTTTCAATCTCCTTCCCCTTGAAGCCTCCTCACCTTCCTCTTGCCCACAACAAGCATGTGCTGTGCCTTTGGCAGAATCAGGGAAGGAAAGGAGAAATTAAAACAGTGGCTACTCCCAAGGAAGTTACAATCCAATCACTCTCTGGCAATCTTTGCATTAAAAGCCTGCTCCTCTAATTTGCTACAAAAGCCACAGCAATCTCACCTTCTTGCTGTGTTGTTTTTATTGCTGGTAAGATTAGTGCACCTAAAAGCACAGCCCATCTCTGCCACAAAGGGACCTTAAATGCTCTGTGAATTGCCCCAAAGAAAGAGTTCTGCTGAACATGCTATGGCCCTGGTCATAGCTGTGCTTTCAGCAGTGACTGACACAAGCCTCCAGCCTTACTCCATCAAGGCTGAGCACCAGAATCTCTTTTGAACAGGGCCTAATTCTGTTGCAGGGAGTCAGTTTTCTCCCACACCCACCACAAACAGCTTGTTTTCAACCCCCCCTTATTAATATGGAGATGTCAAAAATATTAATTCCTCTTTTGCATAACTTAGATAAAAACCCCCACAACAAAAAACAGAACCTCTTTTCCTCATGTTGCAGAGGCAGGGGCTGCATTCCCTGTGGGCAGCCACTGATGTGTGGAAGAACAGGGAGCTCTCTCCCACCCCAGAATTAATGATGAAGAAACCAATTAGAAGAGCAGCTCTAGGAGAGGACATATTCCACCACTCTTGGGTGATTTCCACAGAGAGGTCTGAGGCAGGGGTGCAGTCAAGAAGAACTCAAGGGTAAGCAGAGTTCACTTAGTATTTTAAGCAATGCAAAGTTTGCACTTTTCAGGATACAGCAAAATAAGAGCACATGACCCTGCTGAGTTATTTATTGCAACACCTCTGAGTTAGCAAAAGGTGCCTTTGTTACCCCCACAAAATGGCATTTATAATTTTTCTTCCTCTCAAGTGCCAGATCTGCCAACACTGGAAAAAAAACCCAGAATCTGTATATGTTGGTTCAAGCTCTACAGTGTATCCTGCAGAGAACAGGAAGGACTCACAGACCTGACTGAAAATTCTGTTGGATCTTTCTGCATTTTGGCTATAGAGTTAAGCTTACAGTAAGAAGTGTTACTTAACACAGAAAAAGGGATGTTATCTCAGTGCACAGAAATGCACTGCAGGTTGTTTAACCAGCCTCACATAGTGGCTGAACTCATGGTGACTGTCACCACAACAGGCCACCTCAGACCCAGCTCTCAGGTAACTCACTATAACAATTCCTCTGACTTGGTCATTTCACCCATTCAAAGCCATGCTTGGACTAGGTGGATAAAAATTGTACACAGACTGGGTGAAAAACTGCAGAGTTGTCCTTGTGCATGAGGAAGAAGATGCCAGAATTAATGCATCCTTCACAGGCACACCAGCACCAAGGTGCACCGAGTGTGACTAGGCAAGCCCCTGCCTTGGACAAGACTTTCAGAGCATGGGCCACTTTCCTGGGAGCAAACCTCTCCTTACTAAATACAGCATGAGCCAGCTTCTGTCCCTCTAATAACCACAAAAAGTGACTGCACTGAAAAGATTCAAAACAGACTATTCCTATGGAAATCTATCATCTTATTTCCATAGAGATACACCAATATTACAATGAGTCCTAAGCAGAAAGCCTGCCTACTATCTGGAGCTAAAAAAAAAAGCCATACTTTGTTGCTGAAAATGCTACCAGCCTATGTCACTTGTGTGCCACACATAGCAATGCACAACACACACCAGCAACCATTTATCCTTTATTACTGACTTCTGACCCCAAGGGCAATTTCCATTTCTTATCCACTTTCTCTGCTTTAGAAGCAGCACAGACTGGGGGCAGCAGGGCTTGGGCTGCCTTCCTTTCTCTGACATGTACTTCTGTGCAAGAGCAAAGCCTTGGGGGAGCAGGCACTTCAGCAGGAACCACTCTTCTTCTACTGGGGACTGAAACAGCCTGTGCATCTTACAGGGAGGATGACATTAACCCTTAAATCTGTTAACTGAACCTTTAACAGGAGCCATCCTTCACACTGTGAAAAAGTAGCCAAGACAATGCAGAGGAGAATCAGCAGGCTTCACATTTGGCAGTGTCTCTGACAGGAACAACAAAGAATGTCTTCAGAGGGAAAGGAAGTTCCCAGGTGTTACCCAGAAGGTGGAGATGCTGAAGAATGGCCACAGGCTTTTCAGGGCCAGTCTAGCTCTTCTGCAACTCCTGAAGTGAAATCTAAAAGTGTAAACCATCCTATATTTTCTTCTATCCTCAGACACAAGAGAAAAAGTTAGTGAACTTCTCTCATTGGAGGAAGTTATTACCTCATTCCTAGTTTTCCCAGCAGAAGAAAGCAGTCTAGGATTACCAGTGGAGGTTATTTGAACAGAGCTGAGTTGCTCCCTAAGCCATCTTCCGGTTACTGCATTGCGTTAAAAATACGCACAGAACATTGAAATCAGTAATTTCTGTGTCCTTTGGAAGGAGACAGTCACTTAATTAAGATGCTGTGGTGCACAGACAGCTCCGTGCTGACTCTGCCAGGGAGATGACAGGGTAGTAGATTCCTGTGCATCAGGGAATGACTGATGGAAAGCACCTCCTCACAGGTGGCTCAGGGCACGTCTCGCTGGTTACACAGAGTTCTTCACTGACTGCAGGTAAGCAAGTGGGAGCTTTCTACTTCAGATGTGATACATTCTGCTTTAACTTTACACACAATTTAAAAGTGGAAGTGGATAGCAAGGGTGGAAGCTTTTACATACAGCCAGTCCTTCTGAGAGGTGATGTTAAGTATGTAACGCAACAACTCAGTGAAGCAGAGGAACTGCCCTGGCAGTAAATGAGAGTGTCACAATGATTTGTTTGAACTCCTGCAAAGACAATTTAACATCATTTTGGTGACAGTGCATCAAGAACACACAGGAATTCATTCTAGTGTCAGCATAACTTTTATTTACTTATTGCTGTCAATATGAACAGTAAAGGAAGACCTGATGTGGCTACCTCCTGCATACAATACTTCTGAAGAGTCAGATATTGTGGCTTTGATGGTAATAGAACAAAAATGCTGTGTTCCCAGGCCACAGGGTGATTTTTCTGACTGCCTGCATTACAGATGCATTCCCTAGCTATCCTCTATTCTGTCCCTTCCAGCATCACCTAATATAGACCTTGTTACTGGAAAATAGCTAGAGATTATTTGGAAACAGCATAAAGGAAAAAAACCCAAAACATTTCTGTATTGTTTTATCACAGCCCTTCAGCCTTGTAGGAGCAAGAATTCATTTGTGGCTTTCTAGCATATAAACACAAGTAGGTAAACCACAGAAGGATTTGGTATGCTAAGGAAGGATGGAAACTATCTTCTCCTACCATATCACCTATTATCACAAAAACATCATCCTTCAGAGATGGATCTTCTGATTGGATGAACCCTCCCAAATGCCTGGCAGAAGGATACTAGTCAGTAACTGACTGAAATGGGAAGTACAGGCTGTGCTTTCAAAGCTTTTCCTCTGGTCACACTAGAGGGTTTCCATTGGAGGATCACTCCATCACAGGATGCTCCTCCACCCAGCATTAACCCCTCTCCTCTGGCTGGTAAGCTAAGGTTTGCTTCCCAGCCTCATTCTTGACTTCTCCCTAGGAACAACACTAAGTTGGTAGGGAATTATGTAGGTGGCCAGAAGGCAAAGGCTGTGAGTGGACACTGCCACAGTCTGAGTGGGACAGTAGCAAAGCAACTACCTGTGTGTCACTGGACATACAAAATACCCAGGGGTCCTGATGCCATGAAAGATACAGTAAATTTGCACTTTACCACCCCCTAGCCATATTTCTGCTGCTAACTTTATTCACCTTTGTATTGTCTATTTCTTTATTTCTCAATTAATATGCAGGAGAAAACAGGGTGTCACTCAGAGTGTGCTTATCCTGTGCTCTGTAAGCACCAGGCAGTGCTGTTTCTACAGCACAGGTAATTATTACCCAACTGCTTGCTTAAAATAGGTAGGAGAGGCTGCAAGGGGCTCCCCAACAAAGTGACTCCTCTCCTGTACTCGTCTTCCACAGCCCTGACAGCCTGCCTGAAGTGGTAATGGGTTTTGTTGCTGGACAGTCCTCACCCTCCTGCCCTCCAAATCATTTTACAGAGGTGTTGAGGAAGCCATCAAAACTGAGACAAAGGCTTCTTCACACTGAGGAATAGATAGCCAATAGCTAACACCTTCCCTTGCACATATTCCCCTGTTCTGACACAGCTAGACATCCCAGTGCAAAAAATGTGCATAGGTGGCCCTGGAATGTTCTGCCCACCATGAACACAACAGAACCCTCCCTCCAGCTTGCATCGATGCCGTTGAGTTACCAATAAGCTTTTCTCTGTACATGCTCCTCCTTGGACCCAAATCCACAGCATCCTCCTGTTGTCTTCACGTTGTGTTGTTGCTGTTTGCTTGAAATGATGTAGCATCAAGACAGAAAGTTTGGCCCTGTGTTTGATACTTTTGCCTATGCTAGGGAGGCTGGGACTGCTGCAGTCTTCAGGAAACGTGCCCCACCAAAGTGCTGATTGACTGAGGGTGTGCAGCGAGCCATCTCCTAGAGGGGATCAGGCAGAACAGCGTGAGCTGTGCTCAGCTGGGGAGATTACACTAGCTGGAACACAGGCTGCTAAAGGCTTCCTCAAAAGCACTTGTGTTTGGCAGACAGACTAGACAGGGAAGGAAAGGAGAGGCACTTCCTAAGCTACGGTCTCTGGTTCACTTTTATACCGACTGTGGCATCTTGGCAAAACACGGCTGAATGTAAGCAGCTGAAGCAAACAGGTCTGGAGTGATCAGCAGAGAAGGTCTGCCAGGCTGCAGGGAGCACTCAAACTAAAGCAAAGCCAAAAACTGAAGGGATTGCCTACACACAAACTCTCTCCCACCTTCCCCACCAAATGCCAAACCTCCCTTCTGGGCCTAGTGCCCAAGGCTGTATCTTTTGCAGAGCGGAATGGCAGGTTGATCTCAGCAGCCCCCTCCCAAGCAGAGTCACTTTTTGTCCCCTGCAGCAGAATCCTTTTGTGACCTCATGATTTGATAGATGGTTTTCCTAAAGCGCTGGTCCCGGCTCAGTCTTTTGGCTGCTTCTTTCAGCTCCTCAATGTTTTCAGCTTCTGCATGCGAGAAGATGAAGGACTGCGACTGTTTCACTGAAACAAGATCAGCATAGAAATGTAAGCACTCTCCATCAGGGACACAAACTGAAGATAAAGCTTCAACTAGCGTTCACCAGCCATGTGACCAACATGACTGAGCCTAACTCAGTCTGTGATTAGGCATTCTGATGAAGTCATATTTAAAGTCATGTTTTCTTTAGGGACCCAGGACCATCACAGAAGTTTAGCTTTCAACATATATGAAGAAAAGGGCAACAAGTGCACAGGCTCAGTGCCTGCTCTTGGGAAGCTTCAGGTAGCACTGTGGCTCCATTCTACTGCTGAGGAACATGAAATACAAAGAACATCTGCAGACTTTACTGCTCTGCCAGCCCCATATCTGCTCCTGCAGGATGTGAAGCAGAAGGCTGCCCGATACCTACTGTCGTTCCATGAAGCGCTGGTTCTCCGGCAGCGGAAGCGGCAGCTCTTTATGCGGCGAGTGGCAGCCTTGTGGATGTACACAGAGTTCTTCATGATCACAGGCATCTTGGCCTCCAGCTCAGCATTGCGGATGCACTCTTCAAAGAACTCTGGGGAGAGAACACCAATGTAACAGTGATGGGACTGACACTCCAAGCAATGAACCAGTCACACTCGTTGATGGGCTGAGCCAGAGAATGATGATGTTCCTGAACAATCCATAAAGCTTCAGAATGTCATCAGAAAGAACATTTTCAAATGTTCATTTTCAAAGGGACAAAAATCTCCAGTTCCCAACAAATGCATGCTCAAAATTAGAAAGAACTGGAACCATCCATTCCACATCAGTAGTTTTCACAATTGCTCATGATTCAACTGCCAAAAGCCTTTGATGCTGTGTTAAAACTTCTCAACTCTAAAGCCTTGCTCATCCTACTTTCTTTGAAGGACTTCTAAAACCAGTCAGGTCTAACTGGGAAAGAAAGGTGTTGGCAACACCAGCACAGGCACACATGGTAAGGGATTTCCTAACAGCACAGCAAATAATAGCACATAGTTACATATATTATGAGCTCCAAAAAAAGCCCTGTGTCCAAACTCTGACATTATTCTGTCTTGATCTGCTTTTCCTGGCTCATTTCCCCTCTTATGGTCTGAGCACTAGTCTATTACAGTCTTGCTGTTCTGCCTGTTCCTTGTCCCTTGCTGTTCAAAGGCATCATGTGCTAATGTAACAGTGCCCAAACTCTTCTATAAAGGGCAGGGCAGAGCTGCAGGAACCACTTGGAAGGACTAAGGCAACCTGTGCTGGGACTAATGTTACAGGAAACACTGCCGGTCCTTTATTTTTTCTGGTGTTCTGCTCATCAGTACATTTTTACTCCTGTGAAGAACACATCCCCTCAAATCTAAGGTTGGAAATATCAGGAGACATTCAGTACCAGTTACTCACTTATGCCCTGTGAAGCTCTACTTGAATGCTGAGCTCAACACATCCACTTCAGCTCTGTTTTCTTACCATGGCTCTAAGCCAGTGGAATGGAGGTCAGAACCATGCCTGTTTTACTCCCTTTAGAAATCTTATGCAGAAACAACTGAATAGTACTTGTTTTATTTAAATATAAATTATTAGTATGTGACTAGATATAAAACTACTTATACATTTATTTATCCCTATTTACCTAATAGTGCTTGGAATACCACAGGAGTTTTTGACTTTTCTGTATTGGCCCAGTACATCCACCCTTCACTGAAGTGAAGCCTTAACTGTACAGACACAGCATCTCCATAAACGCTTCTCCTTGCACTACAACTTGAGCACGGAAAACAAGCAAGATTTCACTCAATTGAAGCTGCTAATGGCAGTTCCCAAGCCTGAATCAAGACAAATGCCAGGGGGTAATGTCCTCCAAGAGACCCAACCCAAACCAACCAAAAAAAAGGGCAAAGAAACAGGGATAACCTGTGGAGAACACCAGTCTTACACCTGACCCATGCACTGCAGTGCTGGGCTGATGCTGTGATTCAGCTCTGAGTAAAGATCCAAACTCCACCTTCTGGGTCACCAGCACGTTGCTACAGCAACCACGGGCCTCCTTGAACTGGTGATATTCTTGTAACTAAGGCTGAGAAATAAAGCCTTAAGGGGAATCAGAGGACTCCTTAGAACTCAGACCTAGCCAATAGTCAGTTTTTATAGCTCTGCCACGGCTTCCCCGTTTGACATTTTGGAAAGCATTTGCTCATCTCTAGGTTTGCCTTCCACCCAACAGAGAAGGCTGGAATAATTTGGTGCTCCTTTGAGAGGCTGGAATAATTTCAACCTCCTTTGAGAGCAAAACACCAACTACTTGCATAGCACATTATGGCTCCTCAAAGGGGAGGTGTGGTGGGGGTACAAGAAGCTGGGAGACCACACATTTATGTGCAGCTTTGCTACTTTGGAATCGTCTTTTTGTGTCTAGGATGATAGGTAGAAATACTTCCTCTCTTGCTCATCAGTAGAGTGGATGGATGACTAACTTACTTCTCAAGTTACTGACATCTGCTTTCATCTTCTTCTCTTTCTCCTTGTTGCAATTCAGAGAATTTAAGCCTTGCTCCAAGCTCTGCAATGCTTCCTCAGCTTCTCTCAGTCTCTTCTCCAGATCCATGCGAACCTTCACTTCAGCCTGAGGAAGAAAACAAGAATTGCTGAAAACCAGCTTTTTTCTCAGTAAACATCCTGGAAACTCAAAAGGTCTGTGAGGGACTTTCCGTGGATGAAAATGAAAATATAACAGTGATGGAAGTCCTTAGAAATGTTACAAGGCAGCATAAAGTTGTTGCTCATGTCTTCAGACAGAATCTCAAGTCCAGACTATTACAGTAATTCTCCTTTACTCTGACTTCATTTTTCACAGTTTTCCTCCCATTGCATAAACCATATGGAATCAGAGATGGTATTTCAACACATGAATTTGTGCTAATGCAAGTACTTGCAGCTAAGCAGGAACAGAAGGACATCAATCCAGCTGAGACAGACTCAAGATAAAGGAAGTCAATTCCTACAAAGGGATGCACAGTGCTTAGTTTCAGAAGCAAAACACAAGAGAAGTTAGAAACACAGTACTAGTTTAGCAAATGAGAAAGACTACACAGCTTGGTCAACTTAGCTTTAGTCTGGCCAAGTAGAAGGTTACAGGATAAGAAAATACTGGAGGTGCAGGGAAAATAGTAACTCAGGGTTTTTTTTTGACAAAATATTTATATAAGGAGGTTGAGTGCCAAAAAGCCAATTATTAACATAACCTTTATATTATTTAAATTTAAATAAAATACCATAGTTTGTCCAGTTGCCTTTTACCAGATTAATGTATTGTCTGTTACAAAGGAGAGCTGGTCCCTCAGCTGAATTCCTCTGCTTTTGAACCCAAGTTCTTGCAGAGTTTACTGAAGATTTAAAAGTCTTAAGGTTGATTTTCTAAGCACAAGTGAGAAGGGAAGATGTCTACTCAGTTCTGCAACATCCATATTAGCATTTCTTTGAAATCATCTTTATTCTTGGTTGTGTCTACACAAAAGAGGTTGTGCCCTCTTTTCTTTTTTTTTTTCTTCCCTCCATCTATAGATTATGCTTTCACAGTAGCAAATTAAAAGACTTATACTGAATGGATTAATCAGGTTTCAGGATAAAAAAATAAATAGTAGTACTACAAAGATAGAAGATGGCAATTTCATGTGTTACTATATCATAGTGCCTTGGGTAGGAAGAGACCTAAAAAAATCATCTCATTCCAACCCCTTGGCCATGGGAAGGGATAATTTTCACTAGACCAGGTTTCTCAGAGCTCCATCCAACCCAGTCCTGAACACTTCCAGGGATGGAATATCCACAGCTTCTCTCAGCAACTTGTTTCAATGCTTCACCACCCTCACAATGAAGTATTTAATTCTAATACCTAATCTAAACCTCTCCTCTTTCAGTTTGAAGTCAATCCCACCTGTCCTATGACTACAGGTCCTTGTAAAAATTCCCTCTCCAGCTCTCTTGTAGACACCTTCAGGCACTGGAAGTACAATAAGTGCAGAAGTACAGAGCCTTCTCTTCCCTAGGCCAAACAGCCCCAGCTCTCTCAGTTGGGAGAGAGGTGCTCCAGCCCTCCGAGCACCTTGGTGGTCCTCCTTTGGGCTCACTCCAACAGGTCCATGTCCTTCCAGAGCTGGATGCAGCACTGCAGGTGGGGTCTCACCAGAGTGGAGCACAGGGACAGAATCACCTCCCTCACCCTGCCTGCCACTCGGCTTTGGATGCAGGCCAGGATACGCTTGGCAATATGAAGCACAGCTAATGAAGATTTATGACCACAATATGAAAACTAAATAAAACCAAGAGTTTGGCTTGAATGAACTGAAAGAGAAAATGGAAGCACTCTGGGCCCAGGGACAGCAATATGTGACATATGCAGGGGATACCTTGAGGTCTCTCTCTGCCTGCTGTTTCTCTGCAGTCAGCTCCGAGAGCGAGTTCTGCAGCGCTTGCGACTGGGAAGAGTAAAACTCCCGCTCCTCCTCCAGTGCTCGAGACCGCTCCTCATTCTCCTTCATCCTGGTGCATGGCACAGCAAAGAGAGATGACCATTCCCACCCCCACACAACTCACAGGAAGAAAAGGAGCTCAGTATCATGATGCTGCATGCTCAACTCCCTGACTGCCCAGAGCAAAGAGATGCTAGCAGGAGCACTGTGTGCTCCATTCCAATGACACAGGCATTGCTGGAGAAAGCCAGGTGGACAGCTCTTGAATAGGACACTCTCAACTCCCAGATGAGGCCCAGGAGCACCAAACACTCCTTATGGACAGGCCATGAGCACCTTCACATGCCCAAGGCCTGGTTTGAAAGGAGCAGGCCCAACTGGGAGCTGCCCTGCCTCACTGTCTCCTTTGAAGGGTTTGTGACCTGAACTCCTGCCACTGGAACCAGACAAACTTCCAGACTTGTCTGGTGCTGGCAACCAAAAAAGCAAGCCAGCCAACAGTCACTGCATTTGGCACCACTAAGCCTGAGCAGAAGAGTCCTTTTTCCCCACTTCACCTTTTCTCTGCCAAGAGTTTCTCCTGCAGAAGTTGCTGCATCTTCTCTTCAATCTGTCGCAGGCTGCAGTGCAGACCCCAGATGGGGCTTTGCTCCTTGCTGGGGCTGGTTGAAGGTGGGATCTGGCTCTCATTTTCTTCCAGCATCTCCAGCATTTGTTGTTTTTCCAGGGAGAGCTCCTTGAAGAAGGACAGAGATTGTGAGTATCAGCCAAGTCTAACATTTCTACTCATGTTCCTGCCTGGTTCTTCCATACTGAGTGCCTCCATCCTTACATCCACATGCCTCATCCTGGTTAAACACAAGAATAACAAAATTTGGGTTTCATTTAATACCTGCTTCACAGGGAGCAAGCCTTCACCACAACCTTTGCCACAAAGGGGTGAACCAGCAGGGCCCTTTGATGTGATACTCTAGTAAGGACACAGCTCAGGGACTGGAACCTTGTGCTTCCCTGCTGCATCACAGGTGCAGGCAGCTTCCCTGCCTTCCCTGCTCCTTAGTGGGAATGGGAAGCACCCCCTCTGTGGGGCTTCTAACTGCAGGCAATAGGACACATCATGCTGCTTGCCTCTAAGGGTTCAGTGTGCAACTAGGCTTCCATAACTTTCCATAACTTTCCAGTTCTTCTTCTCATAGCTGTGGGCAAGGAGAAAAGCTCAAAGGGAGAGATGTTTGGACAAACATGCAGGATCTGACACAAACATTAGAGATGACCTTGCAGCTTCAGAATGCCAACTCTGTGGAAATTTCACAAACAATATACATTCAGAAAAGATACTTTCCACAAATCCACCATTAAGGAAAGATTTTAATACATCAAGACTCTGTTTCCTAGATTCCCATGTGGTACATGATTTCCTTGGGAATCATGCTCCTTTCTGTGAACAAAGAACACCCATATGCTGCTTCAAATTCCACCAGAAGGTAGGGAGGTGCAGTCAAGAAAAAAAAAAAAAAAAAGCTCATCACAGACTTGCAGTCATGTTGGCTGGAAAGGACCTTCCAGTAGGCTCTTGTCCAGCCTGCTGTTCAGAGCCAGTCTGTCAGCACAGCAGGATATGGTCAGCTGTGGCTGTTTACACTCTGAAAACAGTCCACAATGAAGGTGAAAATTCTCTCCCTACTGTTCCACCTAAGCTTCCTAAACCACAACTATTATGGTTATTGTCCTACCACCATACTGCCTGGTACTGCTGAGAAAATCTTGGCTCAGTTGTGCTTTTTGTCATTTTTCAGCCTTTTCTTCAAGGGATTTTGGTGTTCCTATCAGCTACCAAATGAACCTGGTCATCTGTACACCACTTCAGCTCTGGCATTAGCAGATGCTGGACTCATTCCATGGGACAACATTACTTTCAGGCCAAAATGCTGTCACTCAGAGGGGAAGAGTGGTCACTCACCTCTAGGGTGTTCTGTAAGGACTGTGTCAGGCTTCGCAACTCTTTCTTTTCTTCCTCCACTCCTTTGAGGGAGCGGGCTGTGAGCTCCAGCTCCCTAAAGAAGCAAAAAGGGTGACAGCTATTGCAGGGGAACAATAGCCCCAGAGACAGTGCCCAGCTGTGCGGGCTGTGGGTCTCCTGGAGCAGGACCTGCAGCCATCAGTTGGTACAGCCAGTCCTGGAGAGCCAGGAGTTTGCCAGGAAGCATCACATCCTTCCTTGGACACATGTCCAGGAACTACACTGTGCCTCCTGATCATCAAACCCAACCCAACTTTACTGTGCTTCTCCAGCAAGGGCAGAGCCATGGCTGCAAGGCAGGGCAATCACATCCAAGCAGATGTGATTGAATGAGAACAAAACTGGTTTGCAAAATCACACTGGCTTTTCTGAGATGTTACTTAAGGAGAAAAAAAATATAAAAAATATAAAGAGAGCAATAACAAAAAATGCCCTTTCAACACTCAGGGCAAAGCACTTGGATCCTTCTCTGTCTAAGTACATTTGCTGCTCATATTTTGCATAGTTAACTTTAAAAATGACAAAATTAATCTTGGTGAGGCAACCAATATCCATTGTCATTCAGCTGATGGTGGAAAACCAGATCCAGGTGTCTGGACCCCACATAGCTGCTCAGTCAGTTGAACTAAGTGTCTCTCTGAAATCTTCTCTTGCACCTGTCCATTGCCATGCTACCCCAACTAATCTGGGGGTTGCTTGTGTCCCAGCACTTTGACATTGAATTGCTGAGTGCAAAATGACGCTAAGCTGTATTCTATTGGTCACAAGCAACAGCAAATGCAGGTAGAGAGCCCACAACCATTCCTGTTTTGGTCAGTGCAGCATCCCCTTCCTACACACACAAAATAGGTGGATTTTACAGACTGTTTTGATTCACCACCACTTTTTCCCAGTGTGGGAGTTGTGTCCTTTCCTGCCCTGCTGCTGTACCGTCTAATCTCCTCCTGCTCCAGCCGCAGCTCCCGCACCACCTCTTCAAAACGCTGCTTCTCTGCTTCCAGGATCTGGTTCAGACGCTCAAGTTCCTGCTCCAAAAGAGAAGTTAGGAGAGGCTTCCATATTAAAAATACCTGTGACTTTTAACATGGCATTTAACCCAAGCTGTGTAGAGCTACAGGATATCTGATTCCACCACACTTTTGTCCAGGGGCAATTAGAAGGATTTGAGGTTGGCTGAGGATTTTCAGACATCCAGAAGTCCGAGCTAGGTTACCGAGCACCTGGAAATCTCAGACATGCTCCCCGCACAGGTCAGCTCAGCCACATATACACAGAAGGTCCAGAACTCCCTGGGGGTGCTGGACTCATTTGTATGTACCATTTTCAGGCACACATATGTGCAGATAAAGGAAAGCCAGACTGCCTCAGAATGCAGCAGCCCCAGAATTTCTGTGCCTGAAGTGTGATATTTCTGTCATCTCAGCCTTTCTTCTCACCCCCACTGGGGCAGGAAAGCACAAACCATTCGGTTACAGCTTTGCATAGTTTAATCAGCCTGTCACTGTCTTTGTGCTGATAAAACCGTGCTCAGAGAGCACCAAATACCACAAGCTGTCCTTCACACAGTGAAACAGTCTCTTCCCCCAGTCTAGAGGAAGCAGTTGCACCGAGACCTAGTGCAGATGGAAAAAGACAGGACCAAAACTCAACAAGGGTCCCTCTCCTGGTCAGGTCCCCTTGCACCATAGCTGCTGTGCAGAACTCCTGCTATAGGCCCATGCCAGTCACAAAACAGTGCTGGCACTGCATAAATTCACTGTAAGACTCTTGTTCCACGGTGCAGGTACACAGTTCAAGCTGCTTTCCCAACACACTGCTCTGAAGCCTTCAGACTCCCAGAGAGTCAAACCACAGTTCAGCAAGCTCTGCGTTCAGTCCTTCACAGCACCAAACTCCTTCAAACTAACCCAGCCCCATCTGCTCTTTGTGGGCAATGGAGTTACTGTGCATGGCTTTGGGAGAGCAGAGATTTGTTCCAAGGTCTTCAGACAAGGTCATTTCCCTCCCTGTGGTTGTGGGCTGTGCAGCAAGGCTACCTCACCAGAGGGAGGTGTCTCTCTGCAAAGGCAAAAGGAGCTTAGCTCTAAGCAAGTGTCCAAGCCACTTCTGGATTTCAGCTCTCCAGAAATGTATGTGAGAAGAACACAGGCCTGAGAAGCCTTGATCAGTATTGCCATCTTTTTTCTAGGGAGAGGCAGTAATTTTGGATTAACTGGAAAAGAGCATGAGGCACTTTGCAATGTTGTGACATGGTGGTTGGTCCATGTCCATGCAGACTTTCCAACAGAGTAATAGGACAATCCAACTGCACAGCTATCTTGCCATGGCTGTGTGATGGTGCTATAAAAATTGGTATAGATTTGGATCAGTAAATATGAGGATGTGCTACTTTTATTATATTAAGCAATTATAAGTTAGGAATAGTTTGAAAAGCAATTATAAACTTGATAGAGCAACCTGGCCTAGTGGAAGATATCCTCCCTGCCCATGATAGGGCGGTTGGAACAAGATGATCTTCAAGGTCCCTTCCAACCCAACCCATTCTGTTCTAAGGTAAATTAAGGTATAATAGTCACATCTAAGGGAGTGCTCTCTTGATTTTTCCTTAGTGTAGCATTTTTTATTCTCCCCATCTCTGTTGTGTCCAAAGAACAAACCACATTGATTTTTGTGCTCCTTGTTTCTCACAACAGTATCTCTATGCTAGAACAATGTTTGTTTACCTGCTTTCTAACTGTGGGGATGGATCTTAATTGCCACAATCTTCTTGAATCTGCCAAATAAAAATTGTGCAATTCAATCCAGTGAATCAAATGAATTTCATTTGATCTTCCTTCCTGGTGTTATAAATCCATACTGTGATACTTGCTTTCACAAGTATTAGGATGAATATTATATGTTATATGCTTTTTGGCTATGTCTGTACTTTTTCTCTTGTTAGCAAGTTTTAGGTGTAGAAGAATTCTGAACATTAGAGCTATGCCCCTCTGCACAAAGGAAGATAACCCCAGAGGGCAAAGACAGTGGGGCCCAAGCTGTTATCAGCAGGACAATGGAGCCCAGACTGTTATCAGCACTGACTGCTTGCAGAGAAAGGAAATCCAGCCCAAATAAAATGATGATCAGAAGAAATAAAAATCTATGGAGCATGCTGTAAAAAGGCAGAACCAGGGAGTGACCATGCAAAACACTTCTTAGAAAAGTTTGAATATGCATTAAACCCTCACAGCAGGAGGGGATAAAAAGGGTGTTCCAAAGATATCAGGTGTGTTCCTGGTGATGTGCCAGAGCACATGGCCATTTTAACCCTTTGCTTTATTTTCTTTGTCTCCTAATTGTCTTTTTGTTTCTATTAAACTTTTAATAATTTATTAAGAGAGTGAACCTCGTTTTTCACACTGCTCCTCCTGGAGTCAAAATGACAAACCTGCTGCATGGAAATTAACAGGGAAAGGGAGCAGGTGTACACCTCCATGACCCATTTCATGGCACAGGTCTTATTCCTCTCTTCATCCACAGGACCCAGAGGCTGTCTGGAAACTCTTGTGCATCCACAAGCCTCACTCCCTGAACACTGACATGCCTTCAAACCAGCAAGTCCAGACTTCCCATCCCAGCCACATGGCAGTTGAAGGAAATTGGTTTGTGATGAACTCACCTCTTTTTGCTCCCTCTGCAGACATAGCTCTTCTGTTTCTTCCATTAGTTTATCTGCAAGCACACAAAAAAAGTCCAAGTGCAGAGAAAAGTACTTTATATCCTCAGGATATTTACAAACAAGAAACACTAACTTTTTGAAGCTTGAAAATGCAGCATTCCCTATTCCTTTGTGTGTATCTGTCTGGGAGGTGCCAAAGGCTGCGATGGCACTAATGGCATGTTCTATAACTTCCCTCCTGCCAAATAACTTAATAAACTAAACCAGAATATTGCTTTGTACTCCTTCTAAGGTTTCCTCTCAATGTTCTTAAAGAGCATTAATGAACCATCCTTCACCATCCTCTAGCTGAGTCAGGAAAATATTCTTATCTCTCCCTCACAGATAAGGAAGAAGGCACAGAAAGGTCAAGTGAGTGCAGAGAGTCACACAGCATGTGGCAGCAGACAGTTTTCCTGCAGCTCAGTGCCCCATCCTCACCTGCCTAGCCCATCATCTTCTCTTTAGCCCTTTGGAGAGCACTGACAGCTCCTTGTTGTCACCTTGGGATGTCTCAGCCAGGCCCAGAAATCAATTCCTAACTTAGCCACAAAATTTCTGCTGTGCAGAGCAGTTCCCCTCAGCATCAGTTGCTCTCACCCACTGAAGACACACAGGCCCAGCAGAGGCTGTGCTCTGCTCCTCATGCTGCAGCCTGGTGCACACCACTGCTGTGCTAGCTCAGAGGCTCTGCTGTGGCAGCTCTCAGCCATGCTTACAAGAAATAGGCAGAAATGCTCCTCATAGTCAAGCCTGGGGTTCAGCTCTCAGCTCTGCCTCCTGGAAGCCACGAGAGCTGGGGCAGGCTGCTTGTAGCACTTCTTCCTCATGTCAGGTGAGTGAGCTGCTACTGGCTTCCCTGGTACTGAGGACCTGACAAGGTTACTGCTACTGCCCAGATTACCACTTCTAGGAGGAATGCAGACCTCTGCCTCCTGCCCAGAGCAGGGCTCCTGGTGCCAGAGAAATAGTGTTACATTACCAAAGCTCTGCTGAGCACCACTGTTGCCTGCCTTTCCCACATTCTCCCTCTTCCTCCTGGCCAGGACCCAGCATAGATGCACTTTAACTACACAGAGGCTCTCCCACCTTCCCTCTTCTGCCCCTCCTGGGGGGACCCAAACCCTGCACTTGATGGGCTTCTGTAAAGTCCATGTCTGCGAAACCTGGACCCTAGCTGTGGATCTAGAATGGATGGTAACTCAGTGTGGATTCAAGAAATTCCTCAGAGCAGTGCTCCTCCAAAGAACCTTGACCTGCTTCCAGGAACAGTGCCTGACCTCAAAGCTTAACTATAGGATGGACACAGATCATTGAAAGTAAGGCTAATGAGGCAGAAGCCTTAGCACTTATATAGAAATAGAGAGTTCCTGTCAAAAGAAACTACCCAGCTGTGACAATTGACCAGCTCTGAATGTTCTTGTCATGGACCAAAGAACACAGTGAAATATATATATTATATTTTTTATCTCCTGTTTGCCATAGAATGTGTATTCCTCTATTCCTCCACCACCTTTTCTTTTATCATACTAAAGACCTCTTTAGTCTTTTAAGCCCTTTAATTTGCTCTGGTGGTTGCAAAATAATGTTTTGACAAAACTTCCCTGTTTCTAATTTTCCTCCTGTTTCTATCCCTTCAGGCCCTCCTCTCAGCATCCCCTGTTATTCCTTTGTCAGCTGTGAAACCACTTCTCCCTGCCTGCATCGTGTACGAGCCCATCCATCACCTCACACATGTGAATGGTGCTCAGCTGGACAGAATAAACACGCCTTGATACTTGAGTTATGATCACTGTTACATGTGAGGCCACATCCTGAGATCAGCCCTGATCAGTGTGGGTGCAGAAATGCAAAAAGCTCCGTAAGATTCCTCCAGTGGCTTCATGATAAGGAAGCCACCATGAGCCCCTGCACAAGGCATCACTGACCTGAAGCACCCGCATTTCTGCTATCTAATTTAAAACAGATAGCTCTCCAGATAAGTCACTGGGCCCACACTTGTGACTCACAGTCCTGAGGTCAGAAGTTCTCTTAGACCTTGGGAATGCTGTAACTTAGGAGGCATCTGGGCTAAAAGAGCTATCTTATAGGCAATGTGGGGAAGAGATAACTGGACCTCCCAAGGCAGTCAGAGCATTCAAGTTACCAGGCCATGCAGAGGCTGGTTCCTAAACAGGGGATTAGATTACATAATCTGCCTCTCTTCATACCTAAATTATTTTACATTCATCTGGAGCAACTGTTCTTTCTCCACTGTCTACAGAGAGAGCATTGACAAATTAGCCACTGCCATTAGATACCTCAAACAAGGTATGTAAATGCTCCCACTTCCAATATGAGCAGTGTGAGCAAACACAAAGAGTAGAGTAGTACTCAAGTAGAGTAAGACCAAAAAACCACCAGCTAGGTGAAGAAAACTCATGTGTGAAAAGCTGTGACCAACCTCAGAAGTATCAGTCCTGTCTGATTCAGGGAGACAAAGGTATTGTCTGTTTGCCTGTGAGCAGCTGACACCAGCACATCCAGACCTCTCAGGGGTGACAAATGTTGGTACACATGAGCCATGGAAGACTGCAGCGTGTTGGGCAGAGCATATTCCTCCTTCACACTCCACACAGATGTCCAGATCCCACCTTAACTTTTGCATGTTTTGCCTCCCTTCAGACCTGAATTTCAGCTGCTGACTACTCAAAAGCTTCATCCAGAGAAAACCTGTATCCGCTTAGCTTGACCACACTGACAACACCAGGAAAAGAAAAATTACTATCTTAGCCTTTATGGTTTTTCAAAGTAAGAGTGTCCTACCTAAATATTCCTGCTTCTCCTTGGCCAGCTGTAGTCCTTGAGCTTCCAGGCTCTCGATCATGGCTTCTCCCAGTTGGGCATTCTTCCAGGTCCTAGGGAGAGCAGACACAAAGCAGGCAACATGAGAGACCTGAGGGTCCCACAGACTAGGACAGGGGACTCAGCCTAGTAAACTACCAAGGAATTCAAACATGCAGACTCTCATCAGGTGGGACCATGATTCTCTAAAAGTTTTCTCCACAAATTAATTGGAGAAATTCCTCTGGCATTCAGTAATATTTTTTTTTTTTTTAAATACATGGGCTGTATGTCAACACCTCACAGCTATTCAAATGTTTTTTCCAGTGTTTTGGAGATTTCTGTACTGAGCTTAATTTTGAGGATTCTCCAGACCAATCCAGCACATCCACAGCCTCCTGCAACAGGGTATATCTGGAACCCTTAAAATTACAGACTTCAGAAAAAAAATTTAGCTTTTAACTCTAGTAACTTCCCACTGCCAGCAACATTGTCTTCTGCAGCCTTTCCAATATTTTGCTGTTAAGAGTCACTCTTCCCCATCAGACTTCAACCACTTATTGAATCCTTCCTGTGGCCTTCTACCTTTAGTCTTTCTGGCATCCATCATCCATCCTGGAACCAATCAACCCCTCCTCTGCTAAAGTTGTAAGCCACTAGGACTTGGTGTCTGGCCCTACACTGAAGTCAAGTGCTTTTTCCTGACAATGGAGAACCAGAGATAAAAGCCAGACAAGATGCTGGCAAGTAGGGAATGTTAAAGGAAGCAGGCATATTCAAAGAGCTCCTTATGTTATTGTAGGACCACTGGCCAGAGGATCTTAAGGTCTCTTCAACACTTTATGAAGCAAAGCTATAAAAAGAGCCTGTGGAGCAGATACACATTACTTATCGAGCTGACAGGCTAGGCTTTAATACAGACATTAAACACCAAGGACAAGGACACACAAAAACCAAAAATAGAATCAGAAATGGAGTTTGCTGCTTCCTTCTCTTAATGTTTCATCAGAAAAAAATCTACACATATAAAATGTGTAACATTAAAACATATATAAAATTTATTCCAGTCTGTTTATATATATGTGCATACAGGAACAGCAATTGTTGCCCAGAAATTCTGCCATATTTGTTAAATCCTAAGGGATCTTCTAAATATTAAATATCTGTAAAGCTTACTGTACAGGGCCTCTTTGTGAACAATTTGAAATTGCCAAATTAACAGTTTCCAAAATGCTACAATCTCTTATTTCAAGGCAATCTGTATTTTGTCTCTTCTAAAAGCCAGACAAAGAAATTAAACACACACCACCCCAGGGACCAGGCAGCTCACAGCTCCAGTAGCCCAAGCTCTTTGCAGATATCTGTGTTTGTCAGCTAATGAGGCTATTTCTAAAGTAGACAGGAAATTAGAACACTAATTTAAAAGGTGCTGTTTTGCCCACAGGTAGACATCTTCATCTTGAGTGAGAACATGTGGGTGTGAATGTGTTTTCTCACTAACAGTCGCTGTTACAGGACAAATCTGATCCCAGAGAAACAAACAGGTCAAGAGGGGAGTGGGGGAAATGACAGAGTATATCATATGATTACATGGAGTGTTTCAAAACATCTCTTGCCTTTAAGGTGTCTGTTTATAGACTCATCTTTTCAGTGCTCCCTCCCTTCCCCAGACTAACAAGATATTTCCCTGTCTGTTACTCAAAGGTTACTACACCCACTCGTACCACTGTCTAGCATTTAAGCTTTATCCCTCCAAGCGGTGGCACCAGTGCTGACATAACCTCAGCTACAGGGAGGTACCAGGCTATGACTTCAGCTGAGGGGCAAGCAAGGGCTTCTTTTATTTTGTATTTCTTGCCAAGTCAGTTTTCATCAGAAAAGGCGACATATTGCTTAAAGTATTGAAAAGCACAGGGCCAGGAAGGCTCATGGGACAAGTCGAAAGCCCCCGCATGAGAAAAACAACAACTCCAAAGCTGTAGAGGGTCTCCATGACATGCACATCTCAATCACTGTCTGTTCCAGTCCTTCTGCAGCACTGGGATATCTCTTTAGCTTTGGCTACATTTTACCTTTCTTGGGAGCACCTACAGCAAATTTTTGGAGACACTTAGCACTTATAGTCTGCAGGACATAAGTACTCTGTTACTTTTTTTTTCTCCCGCATTGCCCACCAAGTTTACTTTCTACCAGTTCAGGGAATGCTGCTGTGGACAGAGAGAGGTTATGTGTGCCCCTCTCCCCAACTAGCAGCAGCAAGGCCTCTGGGTGGGAAGAGAGCCTGGCAGTCTGGGAGTCAAGGCTTTATGCATTTCCAAAAAGCTTTCACAAGCTGGCAGGTGTGGCAAGTCCAAGCCACAGCACTTTGGAAGTGTGGGGAGACCATTGGTTTCCCTCTGCACCAAATAAGTCATTTCCCTGTCGGGGCAGGAGGCTTGGAAAGGAGAGAAGAACTGAAGGGATAACCAAGCAGATTGTGATGGTAGAGGTAATAACCAGCTGTGCAGGCACATGCACATGACCTACCCCAGATGGAAGGAGGCAGTGGACAAAATTGAAACCAAGGGCAGAGAGTACTTCCCAGCCTGGATTTGTTTCTCCTGCTTCACCTATTTCCATATCTCAGTCTATGGAGTTTGTTTTGGGGTTGGGCTTTTTTTTTTTTTTCTTAGAAGTTGTTTGTTTTTGGTTTTATGTTGGGGCTGGGTTTGGTTTTATTTTGGTCAGATTTAAATAACAATGAAAACAGCCAGATGATCCCAGCTAAGTGCTGCAGTGCCCCCAGCATTACAATCTCCATTTAGGAACAAAAGAACATTTTAACAGATCGACTAGAATAATTCAACTGTATTCTTTTAGCTTTTCTAGTCACTGCAGATCAATTTATTGGCCCACGCTTGCCTTTCTGAACTGCTGTTTAGCCCCCAACCTGACCCTGTTAAATCACATAATCTGTGCTTTTCTTCCCATGCAGGCTACCATCAGCAGATGCATCAGCTACAAGCAGACTGGCACAGGAGCTGCACCACTCTCTGAAGCAGGAACAGAAGCAGAGAGGGAAGGAAAGGTGTCTCAGACGGATTTTCAACTAGGTGCAGGTGGTCTGCTGTATGGGAGCAGCTGGGCTTGATCCACCATAACATTAGGTTCCCCATTAATTACAAATTGGCATTCTGAGCCCCACAACATTGAAATTAACAGAGATATTGCCTTAGCATGTACACATACATGCACACCCTGATATTACAAGTTAAACAGCTTTTTTTCCCTACAGTGTCAAGAGACCACACATGATGTAATGCAGCCAGGGAGGGCAGAGCAAAATGCTCATTGCTTTAAGCCTCATAGCTGAATGGTAGGCTCTGCCCTACAGACACAGGAAGTGTCTGTATCTCATTTGGGAAAGTCAAATCCCTGTTTAAGTGTTATCTCTTCCTGCATCTGCTGAGATTTAGAAGGAGCCTGCTCTGGTTTTGCAGGACAGCTGCTCATTGCACTGTCAGGCTCCTGGTGCTGGGGAACTGCAGAGCTGGAGTAGAATAAACTGCAAATCTCTGTCCAGCATTCTCAGCAGAGTGTGAACCAGTGCTGAATGCATACAGCAACCAAACCTTCTCACCCCTGCAGGTGGGCTGGAAATGCTTTGTTAACACTGCCTCTCCTGGGATTTAGGGTGCCTCCACATTTCCCAATTAAACTGTTTTGAGAGGCTAAATCCTGCTGCTGCATGGCCTGAGCACCCGCAGATGTGGGCAGAAGGAACACACACCCCACAGGAATGTAGAGACACAACTGCATCACAACTACTGTTATTGATCAGTACTGTGCTGGTGAGGTCCCTGCTCATAGCAGGACTTAGAGCCACAAGAGCAGCTGCCCACTAGCTTCATGTCTTGCCTGTTCTGCTCTTACTTTACCCCAAATTCACATGGAGAGGTTGTCTGACCCCCACTTCTGTCAAGACTGCAAACCTTGCTTCCCACATAAAATGCATCAGGAGGGGTCCCCTTCAGACCCAGGTGCCACCTCTCTGAGGCACGAGAGAGGGGTGGCAGATGGATCAGTGTATCAGCACTTGGCAGGTGACAGCCTGGGGTGGTGAGCAGAGAGCCACCCTGCACACACACCGCACAACAAGGTGGAAAGCTTGGCATCAGTTTTGGAGCACTGCCCTTCAGAGAAAGGATGGGTCCAGGAGGCAAGTGAAGCTCTCAGGAGTTCTCAGAAGTTCTTGAGGAGTTTGTCTGACTCCCCATAGCCCTGCTAGTCAGCCTTCTTCCTCTTTATCCTTTACACATCTACAGAGCAGATCAAAGCAAATAAGGAATAGAAAGAAGCTTACACTTTTCCAGACTCCTGTAGCATCTCCAGCCACTGAGCCTGCTCAAACTCTGATTCGGCTGCTAGAACAATGTTACCCTGGAAGAGGGGAGGGGAGGGGAAAAAAACCCAGATTAGAGAGGCTGGTGCCTTACGCACCTCTGTGCACTCATGGATGAACTAGATGTAGCTGTGGTGGGAGGAGAGCCCACCACAGTCTTCCACCTCCACAAGAAGCATCACACAGGAGAAAATACAACCTAGGCCAAACCACACGTTGGGAAGTGCATACACAGCAGTCACAGCAGGAATAATACTGATAGGACAACATGAGCTCTAGGGCTCCTGAGAATCTGTCTACTGGTCTGCTAGTATCATAAAACCTGGTGTCAGAAAGTGCAAGTTTCCTTGTTGGTTGTCAAAGCAGCAGCAGAGCCTTGAGGGGACTTGGGATGGTAAGTCACCCTTGCTCTCAGGATGGTGTGTCCAGGGAGGATAGGCATACCTTGGAGGGGAGGGAAAAGATTGCCAGTCCAGCTCTGCTCATCAGCATTAAGCTGTTCTGTGGTGTTTGGAGCTTTTCAGAAGAAAAGAAATGTTGTACTTACATGGAAGTCTTCATGAGAGATCTTTATGGCATAAGGCATGTTGGCCTCTTCCTTGGGCTCCACAATGCAGCCTCCCAGGGGTATAACACCCTGGAGAGAAACCAGAGCACTCTGATCAGTCAGAAAAAACAAGTATAACTATCAACCAACCAGGAGCTCAACTTTCACTCTCAGTCACTTTGTTGGCCACTGGCCTGCCTTGGCTACCCTGGGAGAGGCAATACACACAGCCCCTGAAAAGCAGAGGGACTCTCATTACCACCAGAAAACCCTCAGCCAGTATCTGTAAGGGGGTCTTTACCTTCTTTATGGCAGTCCTGCCCTCAGCATGGAGGAAAAGCTGTTAGCTAGAACATAGAAGCAGAAACTGTTTCATCAAGGAGCAAGTGATCTCCCAACAGGGGCAAACATTGCAGATTCAGTGTGGGATCACAAGAGAGGCTGTGCATTCATTACAGCCACTGGCAGCAGCCAAAACCCCACCTGTGCTGTGTGGGGCACACAGGCAGCTGGCAAGCCCTAACCAGGATGGGTGAAATCAGCACCTTTGGAAGCTCATGTGCTACATCAGCCCCCAGAAACTACAGGGGACAAAAGCAGGCTCAGAGCACAGAGTCCCCCTGTGGAGCTCTGAGCAGCAGAGCTCCAGAGGCCACCCAGTGCTGAGGGCAGGTGGGCTACCAGCTGCTGACAGGTGCAAGTACAGGTTAGGAACAAGGGGAAAATGGAGCTCTTAGCCCCACCACTGGCTTTGCCAACAGTATTTTTATAGCCACAGAATTAGTTGACTACATCATGAAAACAAGGGAGAACATCTACTATCAGGTGAAAAAAATAGAAGTTGTATGCCTGTTGAATCATTAAATATCCTGAAAAGGTACTAACATGGTTCTCACTCTTTTGAGGCTTCCCTGGACCTGTGAGATGTCTGGGACTTACCTCTTCATCACATGCTGGGCCCATGGAGAAAGGGGGAAGGAATACTAGAAACAGAACAACTCCCTCCTTGTGCAAACACTGCTCACCTTGGGATGGATATTGAAGTATTTATTGCTTTCAAAACTCTTCTTCTCACTCTCAGCATAGTACAGCAGGAAGCTTTCCTTAATGATGAAGAACCTTTCAGACAGAGAAGGGAAACACATTCTGGTGAAACGGAGGTTGTGGTTCACAGCACAAGAAAATCTCCACCTAACTAAAGCTGCCTTCTGAGCAGGGGAGTTTACTACTCCTAAGGCGAGGTGCCTCCCTGCTGCCCACAGCCAAGAGCTGGTGCTTAACAGCAAGTGCCAAGTTGTTGGTGCTTGTTCAGCCCAGCAGGCTCACACCAGAGCAGAGGGCACAGCACAGGTGCTCACAGGGCACTGGGACAGCGTGCTGTGCCCAGGACAGCAGCACACACTTTTGGCATCTCCATCTGCGCCCTCTCTGGCTCATGTGTTGAAGTCAACCTATTGACAGAGAGCTGCTCTTTTATTCAAGGGTCTCTTGCATGGGCTAAGACCAACTAAATACTTATTTTGCAATATGCTGCCTGCCACCCTCTTCCCTCCCATTTCAGCGTAAGCCAGAAGGGAAGTGCTTCCACTCTAACAGAGGATCACAGCCTAGCATCCCCAGGCGACTCTTGAGGGAAAAATTGGCCACCAGAGCACTCAGAAGCAGAAATAAACTTGAGAGATATTTTTAAGCAGAGCACCTGGCAAACTCTCCTATCACTGACCTTCACAACTACAAAGGAAATTGAGTATTTCTTTTCTCATATGTGTAACATTAAAATATGCCTTGTTCTGCTCACTTAGCTTTAGGTTATGCCCTGGTGATCATTGTGTAGTAGTCACAAGATATCACAGCTTCTCTAAACCAAGCCTCTAACTTACTGGAGTGTGTCCTCAAAATTATGATTAAAGGAGCGCCACCTTTAACCTATTTGGATTTTTGGAATTCCCCTGGGAGAGTCCCTCTTCTCTTCAAAAATTGAGGTTGCACATGATCTGCAGTCAGTGGTACAGTGCAGAGATACCTGATTTAGTTTCAATTTGGTCTAAATCTCTGCAGCACTCAAAAATTATGAAAAGCAGCTGAAAAAAAAAATGGGGACAAGTGTAATAGGGAGGTCTCAAAAAAGTAAATGTCAAATAAAATGTATTGTTCTGTTCTGTACATATTTTCTGACATGAGAAAGGGGGATTTGGGAAGAAAGTGAAAGGCAAGAAGGTGAAAAATATTTTAAAATGCCTTTTTACACTTCACAAAATACAGCTTTGTAAATCACTTTCGTGTGGTCCTGAGGACAAGAGATCATGAGGAAACTGGAAAGGATAAGGCATTTCTGTGAATATCAAGAACATTCCCAATAAACCCTCCTGTTTCTGGGAGGGAGCAAGAGGAGACTTCTACAGGCAGTGCTGCCCACTTGTGCAGCCTAGGCATTCCTGCACCTTTCCTTGAAGCCACCTTAAGTAACGAGCTACAGGCCGAGGGGGCTGATCCACAAGGACAATCCTAATGCCTTCAAGTGCCCATCCCCTCCCTGTCCTCTCCTGAAGTGGGTGGGTTGCTAGATGCAGCCAAATCCTGCCTCCAGTACAGATGAGCACAGCAATCTGGTACCAGTTTAGTTCCAAAAGCTAAAGAAAAATGTTGAAGCAGGCAGAGAATTATCATAGTCATAATAAAATAATATATAATTATTAATAAGTACTGTTATAATTATTTTATTTGGGTGAAAACTTTATTGCTTCCATCAGCTTCTGTCTCTTGCTCTTCTGCTGTGGCTCTGGCACGACAGATGAAATTGCCAAATGCCATGGAAACAGAAACCAAACTCTGTAAGAAAGTTTTCCTCGGAGTAGCTGCGCCTTTCTGTTGTCTCCATTTCTATGTTTAGTTCAAGAAGGACTTCATTTTTTAGAGAGAAATGTTGCCTTACCTGCACAATAAATACAGAAATAACATCTTAAAAGAACAAACCTGCCTGCCCATTGGCCTGTGTTCAGTCCAGTGAGTCGGGGGAACCAGATACTGTGGGCACAAGTATGGATGTAGAGATGCCAAAAGTCAACACACCACATGAAGCAGGGAAAGTCTACTCATCACTTCCAGCACTCTTTTCAGTCTGAGTAACCTCAAGGAACATTTGTCAGACAGGTAAAGATATTGATGTTTAATTCTGTGTGGTTTTTCAGTCTAAATGTTAACCTCCAGTTAAAGCCAGGGGTTAGTTTGTTACATATTTTTTATTGCCCAGTGCTGATAATCCTCATGTTGTAGATTATGCTCCAATGGAAACCAAAATCAAAGCAAAAATAAGAACAAAACATAGCACAAATCTCTGGAAATTGATATGTCTCTCACAGATAAATGAACTTTTAGATCCCTGATCCCTGGTCCATCTCACAGATGTGGAGAGAAAATATGGGGATTTGGGGTGAAAATATACAAAATAAGAGTTAAAAAAAAAACCAAACAAAATCCCACTGCAAGTAATTAAGGAAAAACACTGAAAATTTGGATAGCTTGTGCACATAATGTATTTATGCTCAGATCATATTCCCTCATCTATCCTTACCTGGAAAGCAACGCCTGAGCAACCAAGACCGTCACTTTAAATGACCTTCAGGACAAAGTCTCCATATAACAATCCAGGGACAATTGATGCAGCATGGTGAAAAGAGGGATGAAGTAAAAGAATAGAGGAGAGAGTTACAAGACTCAAGAGCAGGTTGGAGACTAAAGCAGGAGCCAGTGAGAGGAAGAGCAGAAAGGGATGGCCAAGGGAGAATGGGGAGAGACACCCAGCTAGGTGTGTCTAGGACTGTGACTGGGGGATTGGAGACACTGAACATGTGTCTGAATTAGGCACAGATGTGGCAGCAAGAGAAAAGGGAGTGCTGTAAAGGCAGGGGAAGATTTTGAATACAAACAAGAACCCAAAAAAGAAGCAATTTAAAAACAGAGCAGAGTTCAAAACCTTGGAGAACAGCAGCAAAAGTATGAGAGGTGAGACAGGCTGGCAGAGGTAACACAAGAGCCATTCATGTGGTCAGCTGCTCTGGTCACCCATTCCTGCTGCTGGATCCTGCACTCAGGAACCACTGAAACCACGGTGTAATTAAACTGGAATGGCAGAGGAATGGTAACAATTTGAGTGATTTGGATGTAAAGCAGAAACAACAGCTCTACGCTGGACAAATTGAGATACCTGATCTCTGTGGAATAGGTGCTCTCTTTGTATCACAGAGGGCAAATGAAATTAATTAGCTAATCTTTGTACAAGTTTTTGACATGACACTGGCCCAGATGAAGTAGTTACACTATAAAACTGCAGCAGTCTCCCTGGTCCTTTATTCCGATGGTGTTTCTCTGGGCCAGGAGCACAGGCAGCAAGCCCCATTTACTGGATCAGCCCAGTACTCTGTCCCTGGGGACAGCTCAGGGAACCGAAGGGCAAATGATCTGTATCAGCACAAAGATCAGAACCCGCAGTCCCTGCCCCTCGCTCTCCCCCGAAGGGAGTGGGAAGCGGTGGATGCTTCCTGCCAGTGACAACAGGGAGATTCCAAGGGTGACAGGGAAGCGCTCTCGCAGCCCCTCTCCTGCTGCCCTGTGCTGCACACACACGCTGCTCTGCAGCTGGGGGATTCCCAGGGGGGTTTCTGGGCAGAAAGCTGTCCATAACAATTGCCTTGTCCATCTGTCCTGTGACCACACTCGGTGGCTGTTAGTAGGCGCTGCGGAAAACAAGGTTACGTGCCTGCTTTGCAATGCCACAGACAGGACTGGTTCAAGAAAAGAAAAAAAAGTCTCTCTAAACTGTGCTGTGCTGCCCTCCTTCCAACCTGTCATCTCTGATGGATCTGTAGGGAGATATAGGCATATTTTGAGTTTTGTTCTCTCCCATTTTTAATTTCTTGTGCTTCACCTTGCTTTTCTGATGCTCAATTGTCCAACAAGCAGAAGCCCCTTCCTGTCACTGTCCCATTGAACCCCAAAGTCTCAGCCAGGGATGGTGACAGTTTAGAGCCTGCCATTTCTATATGGGACTGAGATTATTCATAGTAAAGAAGGACATGCCACTTCCTTCCTGGAAAGCTACAGCACCCTATTCATGCCATATCCAGGGTGGGTACACAGTTTATGCATTTCACTCCAGCCTCCGTGCCAGGCTGGTGCCATTAGCAGTAAAACTGTTGTAGTAGGAGAGACTAAATTACTTGTTATGCACTGGAAGGAAGAATGGGGTGCAGCTGTTCCAAAGAGGAGGACCATTAGCCAGGGACTGAGAATATGATTTTTCCAAAACCACTCCCAAGCTTAGACTGGTCAAAAGCAAACAGTTGCTTCTCTGTTGGAAGGATATTACTTTACAGGGAAAGAAAATTCACATTAGGAATAGAACTCCCTTTCTTTAAGTGATAGGCATTAGGATGCTGCTAATGGCACTTCAAAAATCAGTTTCTGAAAGGCAGCATGCTCAGATGTCAGCCATAGCAGATAAACACAGCTACACTGGTCCAGTGCCAGAAGCATCCAGCCCACTCTCAGACAGTACCTGAGGCAGCACACAAATATTTGGGCTTCAGAGCAGAACACTGCATGGGCAAAAGAAAGGAGTGAAAATGCTCCAGGCAGCTGCCTCAGGTCAAGTTTAGCTGTCTCCACAAGTGCCATCAGATCTAGCCCTGACTAAAACAATGCTCTGCTATCCCTCCCTGCATAACCTCTACTGCTGTAAAACTCCAAAACCTGGGATTTCCATCACCAAAGTACTGGACACCATGCTTGGACACTTTTTCCTTGATCTGCTATCTAGTCAGATTCCATCCTTCCCTTAAGCTGTTGCTTCTCAGTTTCTCCAGAAAATTGCTGCTACAGCCAAATGAATGGGATCAAGCCAGTAAATATCATGTATGTCCCACATAGACGCATCCTCATGGCTGATGGCCTCATGAGATCAATCCTCCCCTGAAACACTGTTTTATCTCCCATATCTTGAAAAGACTTTCCTTGGGAGTGGGACTAGTAGTGTTGTCCAAGATTTCCAGACAAAACCCACATTTATCAGAGATTGGATCCTCAATGACATCAACCAATAGTCAATTTTTTTTTATTATTAATTTAACTAGAGTGGGAAACATCTCTTCTCCTTTTCATAAAAAAATGTACTTGACCAGCTATGTGCTGCTGGGCAGGGGGGGAGAGAGGGGGAAATGAATGAATTGCTCCTTATCTCCCCATAATGATTGGTTATAATTACATGGAAGGTTATTTTATTTTAAAGAATGTCTCTGCCATGATAAAACAAACAAATCAACAACATACTGTTCCTGTTGTTCAAATCTTTTTACCCCAGAACTCACTTCCTTACAAACCCTTCAGATTCCATGTTCAGCTCTGACTGACCTGTGTCTGGTCCCCCAGGGCCCTCAGCTGCTGTGCTTGCAACTAATCTTCTATATCACCCCTGCCCCACAGTCAGCTCCCCTTCTGTTCCCAGCTGCTATCACTAAAATATTTACCACTTGCCAAAGATGGGGGTGACTTCTAGGAATAGAGAAGCACTAAATAAATAATGACAGAGGGAGCAGAGATGGGCCATTTGCCTGCAAGAAATTTTTATTAGGGAGAGCCTTTTAAGAATGTCTCCTCCATGGCAAATTACCTTCCCCTCTGTTATTCTGTCTGCTTCTTTACTGTAACACAATCACATTCGTTTCCAGACATAATTCATTTATTTATCAATATTTGGGAGCTGAGTAGGGAGCATCAGCACAAATTCTTTTCTGGGTGAAAACAGACTGTTCTTGGCATAGGAGGGAATAAAACCAACACACAGGTCAAAGACTGCTACAAACACAAAACTGCTTCCCAAGCAGTGTGTTTTTTCAGGCTATGCCATCTTCACAGACAGGGCAGCACTACGGTTGCTACAGAGAGCAAAGCTGGGAAAGCTGGCTTTAGAAATAGATTGTTTGTACCTACACTGCAGACTGCAGCAAAGGTACTTACCCACAAAAGGCAAGTGCCAGAGATTTAGTGATTTGCGTAAAGAAACTGCACCAACTCTATAAACTTAAAACCGACCTACCACTTCAGTATTATAGAACGTACTCCTGTCCTTGGTTAAAGGTTATAGCAAATGCTTTCCAGCTCCAAACTTCCTGGCTGCTGATAGATAACACACAGCAGCTTACAGCTCCCTAACACCAGATGGGAGAGAATTCAGAGCCACCTTCTCCCCAGGGAAGAGTCTGCATGTGCTGTTGCAAGCACGCTGTCACTGTCAGGCAGCACAGCAGTACTGGAGCTGGCCCACACACCCCTGCAGACCACACACACACATACAGACCCACACACAGTCAGCTCAGCCCTGCCAGCTAGCACCCAAAGAGCTTTGAGTGCTAAAACAAAAAGGTCAGGCAGTTTAGGGGCAAAATACATGAGCTGACTCTTCCCCTTTCGTGAAACTATCATAATTACCCAGGGGAGGCAGCTAGTCTCTATTCCCACCCTGGAATAGTGCACATAGCACTAGGTCTGGACAGAAAGAAGAGAGCACAATGGGGTGCCACGTGTGTAAAGCAGACTCAGAACAGCAAGGAAGCTACACCCCAAGTTTTACCCCTTGCCTCTGCCTGGCTGGCTGCACTTGAAGAGTCAAGCACTCAGGCTCTTAACTTATCCCAGAACCCTTAGGCTTTGTGTTTCACCCGAGCATCCCTCAGCAACTGTGGCTTACCTCCTGGACCATTTGGCTGACTGCCTCCCAAAGGGTCTCTTCCAGAGCACACCGTACAGCTGCACTTTGGTGCTGATGTCCAGAGCATCCGAATCTGCCTGTTCCATGGACGGAGAAGGGGACACAGAACTGGATTTTGAAGCGAACATTATAGATGGATCTGGTTCTAACTCGCCCCCTCTGCGTGGCAGCTCAGGGAATCCGATTAAATGCAATGAACCAGCAGGATATAACCAGCCCAGCAGACAGAGAGACTGGGCTTTGGTTTGAATCAATAACTTGACTGCTCAGCACTCAGTCAGTAATTCTCTCCCTGATGCACAGATGATGAGAGTTTTCTCATTGCGTATTACTTCCTGATGCATTGCCAACAGCACGCATCCCAGCCCAAGGGAAAAAGAAGAGCGAAGAGAGTCAGACATCAGAAACACAGAGAGGCAGAAAGAGCTCATCAGAAAGAAAGCTCTCAGCAATAACATAAGCCAAAATACCTCTGCACCAGAGCCAGCTTGGAAGGTTATTTCACTCGACATTGCAGCACTCCATGCAGAAATTAGGGCAAGACGGATGTTTTACTGACAGGCATCTCTGACACACATTCCCAAAATCTTGCGCTTGGAGACAGGTTCTTCTCATTTGTCCTGATGAAAATTGGGGCAGAGTGAGTGGGAGCCAGCAAATTCAATCAGACTCCCTCTGTCACCAGGAAGGGTGAGGAGGCCTCGCTGTGCCAGCCTGGCACTGCCCACCTGGGGACAGTTCACGTGTCTGCTGGCTTTGGACTGGGCAGTGTCCATACTGCACGCCTTGCTCTGCCTTAAAGGGCCATTGCTGATCAAAGTTAAAGCACAAAATTCTGCCTGCCTTAATGCTTTGCTGTATCTTGGAGAGGTGGCAAGAACAGACTCTGCCCTGCCTCTTAGGTACCAGCTCCTTCTTGGCCCCAACACAGACACATAGGAATATGATACAGCTCAGGTCCATGTTCATCTCCTGCTCAGTCCTCCCACAGCAAGCTTTTTAATCTGGTTCCCTATGTCCTTGTTCCTCTCTTGAAACCTTTTCTCCCCTGCACAGATACACAGTTCTCCAAAAGAACCTGTCTTTTGTAATGCCCATGGGGAAGCAGTTTAACATGATAGTGTTCTTTACTGCATCCTGCCTCCCCTCCAGGATTAGAATTTACAGAAGGATCCCATCTGAGGTTTTGGGATATCCTATAACCAAAATAGACATGTACATGCTGTATAGCATGTATGCCATAGATGCTGAGGTGTCTGCTCCCGATTTAACCTTTGCCATCATATGTGAATAGATTCTGATGCTGTAATTGTTGGATGTCAGCCCTTCCCAATGCAGTTGTTCCGAAGAGACAGAGTGCAGGCACGCAATCATTTCCTGATCAGAAACCTGGGATGTGCAACAGGCTAGGTGACACCACAGGACATGGGCTCACTAAGCTCACTTTATACAGCCAGAGGCACTTGCAGAGCATCTTAAAGAGAGGAGATGCAGACAGCCCGCCTCAGGTTCACGGGCTGCATTCAGTATTAGAGAAATCAGAGATGCAGGTCCCTGATAAAAGTCACAGTTGATCAATAGATGAGTCAGCAAACTCCATGATTTGTTACTTTCTCTCACCCTGGCTTTTACCAACCTTTTGGTCCCAGACAGGACATGTCTCAAGCAGCAGGACATGTCCCATCTCAGAGTGACATTAAGGAGAAGAGAGCAGCAGATACTGCCTCCATCTCACCGAAGCTCTAAGTTTTGAACACAACACTGCATTGCAGAAGAGAAACATTAATGCTATAGATGCCATTCCATACACAGCACCAAGAAGGAAATATTACTCATAACCACGAGAGGGAAAATTTTTCCTCATATTTTGTTGCACAAAGGGTAAAAATTGTTCTGGGCCCTCCGGCCTCACTCTATAAATGTGCAGTGAAAAGCCACAGAGCTCCCATGTAAAGATGATCCAGAGCCCCTGCCACTGTACCGCACCAAAACCGCAAAGATCTGACAGCAGTGACCTGCCATGAAGAGACAGAATGAAAAACAAGGGTGAAAATCTTTCTTATTTTTACCTTATACAGACTAAGAGAGTAAAGAAGTTTCTAGCTTTGAGTATCAGAAAGTGAAATTTTTTTTTTCCTCTGGATGCCTCTAAGACAAGGAAGGGACTGAGAAGTTACAGCAAGTTCCTTAAAGTCAACAAGAGAAGGAAAGAGCAACTTCCTTTTGTCAAGTGACAGGCCAGCAACTCTAGGGCAGTAGATAGCAGAAAGGTGAATTTAATAACTGCTGGACACAGTGATTTGTAGTAATAGGGGCTCTTTTAACATTTTCTTTATGTGTGTACTAATCTAATGAAGGGGAAACACAGCTGCACATCCTTGAGAGACAGCACTGGGCCTTTAATAAGAAAACCTTTCTTTGGAGCAACAGGCTGCACTGCTATGGCAATTATTGTGCTAATATATTGTCTTTATTTTTCCTACACATCAAGCCAATAAAATTTTGCTAAAAAGCAAAGGCAGACAGCAGAGCAAGCTATACAGAAGTAACACTTCTTAACAGAATATCCTGAGTCGAAAGGGACCTACAAGGAGCATCAAGTCCAATTCTCAGCCCTACACAGGAAATGCCCAAAAATGTGCCTTCATCACAGGCCACCCTCCAGCTCAAAGATGCTCCATTTCAGTTTAAGGAGACACATACTGGCTAACCTCAACTGCTGAGGGGGCTTGCAAATTTTTTTTTTTTTTTAAAGTGAAAAGTTATACCTTCAGGTTCTGGGCAGCCTGACAATACTGTGTTATGCAGAAAAGAACAAACTGCTTCTTGGGCTGAGGCCAGTAAGTTGAGATGGATCAGAGCTGCTGCAGAGTTGGAGAGATTCAGATCTTACCTTCCAGTAAGGTAGAGTCCCTTTCCTTTTACAGCTTCTGATAGGTTCCATACCCATTTTTAACCCTGAGAAACATTAGCAATTATGGGAGTTATTAGCAGGTACCCAAACAATGTGGAGAAGTAAAGCCCAGCTCCAGTTTCCTTTATGATTAATCATTCTTGCAAAGACAAAATGTTACAGGTACTCCTCAAAGTGATTCTCCAGCTTCCTAGGTGCACAGCTGTGTGCAGAGGCTATTTTAAATAGAAAAACAACTACCATCAATTCATCTCTAGTGAGATACACAGAGCATGTCTCTCTTGCACAATGATTAAATTCTCAGCCAAAGCCCTTCACCAGTCCCAGCCCTTCAAACACACTCAGATCCAGGCTGGATGGCCCAGGAGTCATGTAACTATTTGCTGTGGATATAGCACCACTTCAGGAGACTTAGAGGAAGACAGAAAATATGATACCAGTTTACTGAAGCAGAGATTTGATAGCAAGCAGCCAGCCCATAACTTGGCTTTTGGGAGGTAGCTTTCTCAGGAACTGACACCATAGTTAATGACTATTTATCTCAGCATGGAATTTTTTTTTTTATTAAACCTACTAAGATACCACTTCTGCAAGAAAACTCATTTACTCTGGTGTTTTGTTTTGTTCAACAAATATTTCTGCTAAAAAGCTGTTTTTCAGAATATATAAGAATGGTCAGCTACCTTTGAAAGCTTTCTCCAGAAGACAGCCCACAGGCTTCCTGCAAGGTACCAGATTTTCCCTCCATCAAGCCTAAATACCACAAAATGATCACATGGCTGACAAACAGAAAATGTTTGGGGCTTCAGTACTTCAATAGGCTGCTTATCTGACTGAGGCTGTCCTGTGCAGGGCCAGGAGCTGGACTTTGATGACCATTGTGGGTCTCTTCCCACATTCACAGAACATTCTATGAATCGAAGCATGTAACTTGATTTCCCTCAGCCACCATTCCTCATGTGTGACACTGGTACTAAATCCAGAACATCACAAGAATACATATACCAGGGCAGTAGTTTGGGTACCACAGACAGCCAAAAAAGTCCTGCAGAAGAGGATTTATTAGCATTTCCTTGGCAGAATAATGGAGGGGGGGAAATGCAATACCTCTACATATTAAGACAGACAACCAGAGAACCACCAGCACATTTCACATCTGACAGAACAGTCCAGCAAGAAGCAAATGAGAACCAGGGCTGTCTGTTCTGGGGAAACACATTCTTTTTAGCTGTTTCAACACCAGTTAGCATATCTGAATTCTCCCAGTTTCTAAAAACAGGCTAGCTGCTGGATTTCTATCCACAAGGTGTTTCTCAACTGCAAAGGTTTCAATATTGATTGGAGTCCACCAATTTCTACCCACTTTGTAGAAGGAAAGAGTTCACAGGCTGAACTTTTAAACAATAAATACATATCCAGGAAAACAGAACTGGCCAACCCGTTTTTATTTAATCTGAAGTTTGTAAAATGCCCCGCACATGCACACAGAGACCACAATTGCTCCTGCATACACATTCAGCACTTCCTTTACACCTACCATCACTGTGAGCACTGAAGGCAAGGCCTTAAATCTACGGACACTACAATTAGGATTCATTCAGAAACAGAAACTGCAGGGACCACACCATCAATGTTCTTCAAACCCTTCCCCTATACATTGTGCAGGATCCCTCAGCTCTAGTTGCAGCAGCTTTCATTTCAAGTTTCTCCTTCCTGGTCCTGCTCATCCAGCCAGGCACAGCAAGGTCAGGACTCCTGCTGCACACATACATATGCAGGGCAGGCACAACCTCCTTCCTATCCACGTTCTCAAGTGGTTATCTAAGTACAGAGGCACAAAGATCCACTGCTGCCATCTATCACAGCAGCAGACCATGACAGCTATGCTACAAACCCTACAGTGTTGAGGAGAGCCAGCAGCCAGATGAAAGATAAAATGTCTGGCAACTAAGTTCATTGAAGACTTTGCTCTCTACAACATACAGAAGACTAAGAGGGCCATCTCCTTTTATTCTCTTGTGAGCCATGTCGCCACATAGCTTTTGTAGATGAGGCTTCTTTCATAATGCTGAAGTTTAGATTGTGGGGATAAGCATGGAAAACTCCCAGACACACTGCCTAGTCATCCACTTGCACCCAGCCACCTTCACATGAAGTGTCTGCACACAGGAGATACCGGGGTACAAAGTTTTCTTCAAGGTCAGTCACCTCTTGGTTTCTCTGTCAAAAAGAGACAACAGAACATGGGAAATCCATTGCAGTCCTAAAACTTGACTCATTCTACTGACAGCATCACCCTTTGAGGGCAAGGAATGCTTGAGTAAGAGGTGCAACAGTAAGACTCACCCAGAGCACTGGTAAGGCTTGTAAGCAGGGTTTTTAGCAGGCCTCTGTATAACCAGGAGCATCTTATTGAAAGCATTCCTTCAAACAGCAGAAGCCCATTAACCTCCACAGACTCCAATATAACTATAATCATATATTAGAAGTTAATTACCACTTCAGATACTGGATGGGCATACACAGAATAAGCATTTTCCCCCTAATAATTTCAATCTGCTTTTAGATTTTCCAAATACCATGTAGCTTTGGTGTCAGTTAGCATGATACAGCTTAACTTTTATTAGGTCTACAAATTTTTTTTGAATGAGGCATTTTTCTTTAATCCCCATCCATAATAACAGTTTATTAATCTCTCAGCGCCACTGACAAGATGGAGAAGTGCTGTGATAAGGAGGGTGGAACCATGTGCAATTCTGCCTGCAGGGATATTTGGATAAGGCTCGTACATATCAGTAGAGGAATGGCTTAATTTGTCAGCTGG